TACTTTTAACAAAACCATTATACCCTGATTTCCCATTTTCAATGGGTTCAGGGTATAAAAAAAAAAAAAAAAAATCATTGTCCAATAGGTTTAGTAGTTTTTAAGTCTTTTCAAAAAGGACAAAACGGCGAAACGGGTATTTCACTCAACCAATACTTATTCACTTCGAAACGTAGTATAAATATATAAAAACATAGAACATGGTGTATGAATCATGGAGCACGGAACATGTTGCCCAGCTAGAGCTGCTGGGGCACACTGCCATCAAACTTTACATACATAACAAATCCAACAGGTTTTTGCGCAGACTTAGCATAAAGCGTGCCAGTCCTGTCGACGAATTAACATTTTGATTGGATTTTCCAATATTGCGCCATATGGCAGAGTTGGGAGCTCTGCAATTGACTTTGATGACTGACTGGGGCGCCGTGTTTATGTTCTTTTTTGATATTTCAACAAGCATAGAGCATTTGCAAAGTACTCGATAAGATAAACCGTTTTTTATTGTTTATGCAAAAAGTCTAGCGACCTCAGAATTGTTTATTGAAATCGAATTCCCATATGGTTAAATGTGACAAGTCATCGGAAAGCCCTTAGTTTATGTGGGGAGCTGCTTCCACGACCTCAATATCAGCATTGGCAACATCTTCAGGAGCTTTATCGGCATCTGCGGCAGGCGCAACTGTGCTGGCGGCGACCACGACGCGAGGAGCCCAAAAGCGGCTACCGAAGCGTCTGGGTCTGACCTGACCGTATCCGCCCCAATATGGGTTAAAGCCGTATGGGTTATACGGGCCATAGTTCTGGGCACCGAACTGTCCCCAGTACTGGGGGTTAACTAAGGGAAGAATGGGACGAGCAGCAACAGCGGGCAGTACGCCCGCTGGGTCTTCTTCAACAGCAGCTACGGCAACTGGTTGATTGACAATGGCAGGTTGGACGGCCAGCTTGATTAGCGGCTTGCGCAAGAGTGGTGCACGAACACTGAGACTTGGTGTCTGCGCCGCCACAACGGCCATCAAGGTGATGAAAACAAACGATTTGAGGCAACGCATTTTGGATTACGAGTCCTGTCCTCAACTGATTCCGAATTGCACAGTTGGCTGCTTTTATCGCAAAACGAGTACTTCACTTTTTTCACGCATATTGGTTCAATTAATTTCACTGAACCCACCAATTGTTATAATTCAAACGTGCATATTATGCGAATCTCAAGCGTCATGCGGTCGAGTTATTTGCTTAGCTTGAGGAAAATTGACAACGGGTTGCCAATAGAACAAGTGTTTCTTTGTTTTTCTAGAAATAATCCAAAAACAAGTCTGCAAGTCAGCTTAAAAAGCTGTTCAAATAAAACTTCAGTTTTGTACCGTCGCACTCTAATTGGCTTCGTTTTAAGCGCTAAAAACGGCTACAAACCCAAAGGCACAATTTTAAGTAGCAATAGAAAATTTGTTTCTGAAGCTAAATAACTTTCTTTAATAAATCTTTTTTAGCATCATGCTTTCTGTTCGATCTGCAGTGTAAGTGAGCATCAGTGAATCTATTGATTTAAATTATTTTACTATTAAGGAAGGTATGCAAGCATAATCTGAATACTATATCTCAGGTATAAGTACTAAGTATTTATTGGACGTCTAAAATCAATCATTATTGCCAAGTCTATATACTCTTTGAACTCTGTAAACAAGCATTGAAACAATAAACCAGTAAGAACACTCTAGTCGAGACTACTCGACTAGGAGATACCCTAAGCCCTCCAAGCTGATATTCTAATCATTCTGCACATATGTATGTACATACATATGTATGAATCCGCACGTATAAAATCGCGCTCTACTAACTGCGCAGTAAACAGCGACTGCGCTTGGGCTGCGCTGCAGTGTAGAAAATATTATGAAAATTTATTTGTTGAATAATTTCTTTTGTAGAAATATAATTTTAATGAAACTTTCAGAACGTAATCATAATTTTCAAATGTATGTACATTCCAATGCACAAGTCTCTAGTACTTGCGTTTCTTACAAATTTGGGACGAAGGCGTGGTATGTAAAATCTGTAAGCTACAAAATGTTTGCATTCAACATGAAGTCTCCAGGTCTGAAAGAGTTCAAATGAGGCTGAAAAAACAAAATCAATTTTTCGATTATTCTCGATAAAAAACTTATCGGATGATTTATCGAAAAAAAAAATACAAACTCGTACTCGTACTGCGTATGTTATACACAAGTATACATGCCAAGTTTCAGCTCTCTAGCTTTTTATCTTCTGATGCCCGTTACATACCTTTTCACAAACCCATTTTACCGTGATTTCCCATTTTCAATGGGATCAGGGTATAAAAATAGATAAATCCGGAAACTAAACCAAAGCATGAACAGGGCGGACAGCGAGATAAACTAATTAATAAATTTAATCAAGCTTGATTATCTCAGTCAGCGACAGCTTCAGATAAGTAGGGCAAAAATCGTATATACATACATGTTATCGATGTAATTGCCAATTGACGTCATATGTTTATATTCATACATATTGTATGTATATATATATGGATATAAATATACCAATAAGAGTAGGCATAACAGCCAAACGATCTGCATGGCGTAACGAAAATATTGTCAAACCAAATTTAGAGAATTATAGAAACTTCTTATAAGCAATGCCTGATGATGAGGCTGTCTTATTAAGGAATACAAGCGTGTCGGTATTTATGAGTGCATAATTCCGTTTCTCCGAGGCAAATAATCTGGCTGCTCTGGCTGAAGCATAAAATATTTTGTTTTTGTTCCACGGGACATTATTATCTGATAAAGACGTACAGACTTACAGTCCACTCAGCGTTTATTTTAAGTCTACGGGTTTGAAACAAAGCTATTCCACTAATTAGGTTTACTCAACTAGTTATACCCTGAGCCCATTGAAATTGGGAAATCAGGGTAAAATGATTTTATTGAAATGTACATAACAGGCGGCGTGGCAGACCCCACAAAGTATATATTGCTGAGTCAATATAGGCCTGTCCGTCTGTTTGTCTGTTCGTCCGTCCGTCCGTCCGTATGTTTGAACGCGTCGATTTCAGAAGATATAAGAGCTAAAGACTTTAAAGTTGTTTCCTAGGTCCGTGTATATCACGCGCATATCCTACACCTTATGCTTCCAAATTTTAAATGTATACTTATGTGTATTTTATATAGTTTCGGTTTTTGTTGTAATTTCAACCCCACCCCTATATCCACCCCTTCACCCTCACCTTTGTAAAAGACGTATTTCAAGTACTAGAGACTTGTGCTTTGGAATGTACATACATTTGGACATTGTGATTAAGTTCAAGAAGTGCAGAGTGATTAGAATATCAGATTGGAGAGTTCAGGGTATCTCCTAGTGAGCAGTCTCGACTAGTCTTCTTACTTATTTTTTTATAATTATACCCTGAACCCATTGAAAATAGGATATCAGGCAAAAGGAATCATCGCCGACCCCATAAAGTACATATATTCTTGATCAGCACGTATGGTATACACGCAGTACGAGTTTATCATATTTTCGAATCGAAATATGGATTTTGTTTTTGAGCCTCATTGGAATACTATCAGACGTAGAGATTTAAGATTTACTGTGTGTATACATATGATGAATACAAACATTTTGTAATCAACAGATTTTGGATACCACGCCCCCTTCTCCGCAAATTTGTAAGAAACGCAAGTACTAGAGACTTGTGCGTTGGAATGTACATACATTTCAAAATTATGATTACGTTCTGAAAATTTAATTAAGATTGTATGTCTACAAAAGAAATTATTCACCGAATAAATTCTCATACTATTGCCCACACAGCAGCGCATCCCAAGTGCAGTTGCTGCCTACTGCGCAGTTAGCAGAGCGCGGGCGCGTGAGGGTGGATTCATATGTACATATGTATATGTACGTGCATAAAAGAAATACAGAATGATAAGAATATCAGATTGGAGGGTTCAAGGTATCTCCTAGTCGAGCAGTCTTAACTAGTTTTCCTACTTGTTTTTTTTTTTTTTTAATTTTTTAATAATAATCTACAACTTACCCACGACTTAATAAGTCTCCAATGTCAAGTTTGAGAAATTAATGGGTTGCAGTTCGATTATTCAGTAGATCTTTTATAGAGTAGCATCAATCGTTACAATCTACGTCTTACGAGCGCGCCACATAATTGTTTATTTTATTTATTTATTACACATCCGAGGGAGCACACGGAAAATGTAAATGGTTTTTAATGTTATCTTATGTTTAACTGGATTCGGTCGATACACTTGAAATGATAGCTGCAGCAGCTTACGCCTTGCTCGCCAGGTTCCAACTGATTCTCACAACACAAGGATATGTAATGGTAGACGCTGCAGAATAGATTACTACCATATGCTAGATATACTCTCACCAGTCGCGTAGTCGGGTTGGTCGCAAAAAGCTCCTTGCGGGCTTTAGCCCTCGCCTCGCAAAAAGCTTTCGCCTGTTATCAGTCACAGATTACTGTCATGTCCGGCAGATGCTTCGGCAGCGGTTTGCTGAAATCTTGATAACGAGGCTAAAACGTAATTGCCTCGACTATCTATTCAGCAATCAGCGTTAGTTAATTGCGATTGACGGCCACCCTATCGCAATGTTCTTTGCAGTCGCTTTCCAGAGCCACCTCCAGCCAGAGTACACTCCACTCCCACTTGTTGCGGGTGCTCTATGTAGCTTATACATAGTATTCAAAAGCATTTTCATGAATTCATCAGGTAATCTTCATTACTTTTCAGGGATATTTTTATTAAAATTCTAATGAATTATTTATACAAGTTTAATAATAAATGCTTCATTAGCCCTTCTCCCACAATTAAGGCACATGCGAAATGTGTTCCATTATTTGCTGCCAAACGAGAAAAACTCAAATGATAAACAAAAATTGACACCTTAAATTGTGGTTAAATTAGCTTAAATCAGCCTTTAAAAAAAAAGACAGTCACTCAGGCCTAAAACTTAAACGAAATTAAGGTAATATATGTGGATATGTCTCAGGTAATTAATTTACCAACTGAACCAAAACTAATCTTAATACTGGGAGTGAGATAAAATCAGGTTCATAGAATAATATTATAAATTAAACAATTACTTGGTAAATTATTGGTATATTCAAATTCGTGTCTGATGCTGGGTTTGTTGAGGATTTTCGGCTCTACACTAGGTACTAACTACACAGCACTCTGAAAATCGTCTATTATTAATGGCTGTAATACGAAGGGTACATCTAAATGGCATATTTTGAGCATGTTTTCTATGTTTCCTATGCGTATCCTAATGATGCCGTGAATGTACCCTCTTGGCCTTCTGCGTTGTCGTCCATTCAAGCGTTGTCAGCGAGGGCAGCGCCGCTTCCAACTTTTTATGATTGCTGTCATCATTGTTGTTATTGAAGGGCGCCGTCTGCAAGGCGTAGTCCTGAGTCAGAACGACGGGCTGCAAGGTGCTTAAGTTCACGGCTGGTGCGAGGGACGGCGAGGCCGGTGCGTAGCTCATACGTGCTGCTGAGCTGTGAGAATTGGTGGGCAAATTGTTGTTGAGGTTAGTACTCTGATGAGATTGGCTCACGGGCAAAAGCGGAGCCACATTCCGAGTGAGACACGGGCCAGTTCTGCAAGACATGAAAAATGATATCAGAAATCATACAAAGGGTGCAAATGGTGCTAGTGGGTGATAGAGCCAATCGAAATGGAATCGAACTACACAACTGATTATCAATATGAAAAAGATTCTATACGGGTACTGCATAAGGTTGCAACTTTTAGCTTATTTGATAAAAATTGTTGTTGTGGTAAGTGAAACTGAGTATTATGAAGTGGATGTAGCAGACCTTTTGGTACCAGGCCTCATGGGTATCTATTTATGGGCGGAATCGCCTTTGCTTAACTTGACTCTCATATTGACTGTCACTAGAGGCAGTTTGGTGCTACACGGAGTAAAAAACAATGAGAGTAGTTATGCACAGCACATGTTAAGGAAAGCAGCTCTCTTTGAAGTCCAATATTCAACAGCTTGCCTCACCTTTGTTGAGTTATTGTAAATATCGATTTGCTCACGATCCGCTTGCCCGTGTGCCAAATGCGACCAATGTATTTGATGCGTTGTATGGCAACAATGGCCAGAGCGACAGTCCTAAAAGAGGTGAACAAGTATTAGCTAGAGAGTTAACAAGGTATATTTACAAAACAATACTTACTTGAATAATTTCTTTTTGTTGGTTTTCGGGTGGCTGACTCTCAACCCAACTCCCCCAGCGATGTTCTGTAGCGCCAGTTGCTCACTCGCCTGATAGCCCTCGAGAGTAAGTTTCAGGTAGCGCTTCTGATAGACAAGCGCTTTGCGATGACTCTCGACGCGCAGGTAGCGGCCAAGCAGCTGCCGACATCGTTCTTCCAGCTCGCTGGCATTCGCACCTCCATTGCCGCCAAGCTCCTCGCACTTCTTTTGCAGCGCCAGTCGCTCCCCGACAAGATACTGCACTGTTTCGGCCATCTGCTTGTTCTCCTGAGTGTTCTCCGCCAGCAATGTGTTGATTTCCTTCATTTTTTGCAGGAACTGTGCTGGTACTGATTCCTCCATGCCATGGGCCAAGCGATCGTTGGCCTGAGCCAGGGCTTCCGATAATTTGGACTCGCGCTGTGCTGAACGGGCCACATCAAAGCGCAGTTGATTAATCTTCAGCTCCAAACTGTTCTTTTCGGACTCTACCGTCAACAGCTTCGCCTTTAACTCGTGAATTTCGGCCTGCAATTTCGCCTGTTCCTGATGCTGCCGAGCTCTTGTGCTGGCGCGCCGCGTCTCTGCTTCTTGTAGTGTGACCATACGCGCCTCCAAGCTCTCGATTTCGTTAGCTTGCAGGGTCAAACGCTCGTTGAAATGCTCGAGCTCCATTTCTGCCGATTCCTTGTCGCGAGCAAGCTTCACCATCTCCTGCTTAAGACGCTCACAGTATGCCACACGCTCCTGGAGCTCTTTTTCGTATCTTTGGCGCTCACGCTCACTGCTGCGCTGAGCATCTGCCGATCGTTCTCTCTCCCGCTCATTTTGGGCCGTCAACAGTTTCAACTCGCTGCGCAATCTGTCGCACAGCTCCGACTCGAAGTCTGCTCGAGGTG